ATTAAATATCAATGTATGATACTGCTTGACAAACATTGTTATACTGAATTTGGTTTTTATAAATCGAAAAATTGTTCAGAATTGAATTTGAATTTACATGTTACAGGACAGGTGTTTAATTAAAACCAAAGACCCTTAGGCACAAATTTATAAAATATCTTATAAAACAACTTTTATCTTGTGAAATGATTTATTAAATTCTTGAATACGTAGCATGTCTGTACCACTGATCATTTGCATGTTCTGTTAAGTGTTAAAAATAGTTTTTAACTAAACAATCCTACATATTATTACTTGATTGTTTTTATGTGCTATTATGTATGATTATCGGGCAGGTTAATTGCGAGGTTTTATTCTGAGCGTGGGATATACGAGGTATCCTTGACAATTAAATTGAACTCTTAGCATGGGAAATTTTGTTGTTCAAGCCCCAACACGTTAGGAAAAATACATCAGCTGTTACAGACAATGGACATTTTTTGAACAATAATAATATATGAATATAGTGCTTTTTCAAACATTAATAATTTTTAATTTAATTTTGATTATTATATTTAGAAAAACTGCAATGTTACAATCCGCTATCTATAGAATATAGATGCAGTATTATTACAGTATTATTTTCCACGGTTCATAATTGTAATAATGTTGTTAGGTATACCTGAAAACTATTTTATTTTACTTTTATTTATTGCTGACATCGGCTGCTATGAGGGCATACCTAGCTACAACTCCGGAGGCGTAAATATTAGGATTTTAATACATATATCTATAACAGCTAACATTATTGCAATATTGTCTTTTGTTTTAAATTGTATCATATAGTATTCGAATTTAAAGCACTAAAGTCTCCTGTTAAAAAATTCTATGTACCTACGAAACTTTTATTAAGTAGGTACCTACAACGTAGTATATTTTATTTTTATCAAAACTGTTTAGTGTTATTATAATAAAGTAGGTACCTACTGTTTTTAAATATTGGATGATTCTATTAAACGGAACAAAATATTTATATTAATTTTTCAATCATGTTTAGTTTTTTATTTTACCACAATCAGTTTTTGATGAACAATGATTTTCATTTAGTGTCTCTATAGCTTAATTTACGCAATGGGTGCATTTACTTGAGTTTTAGATAACTGTTCGGTTGCTAAATGGCTAAGAAATCAATCGAAATAAAAATTAATGCAATATACATAATAATTAATATATTTTTACTTTGCTAATAGTGATTGATAAATCCATTCAAATTTAATTTCATGCAAACATATTACCTAACGTTTAATATAATATAGAATATTATGGTACTTAAATCATTTTACGGTTCTTGAACCTTGGTTAAGATCATTTTCTCCCATAAAAATATTACATTATTTCATATAAATAGATAACGGTTTTATCGAGTGTTTTATTCTCAATTTTATTTTAAAGCTATATTTTATTATTCTCTTTTTCGAAAAATATCAAAAAGGTGTTACTTAATATAGTATATCGTTGACATTTTAATTGAATACTTAATAGTTAATATTATTGATATTTTCGAGAAATGTGTTTTTTATTTCGTTCCATCAAGTATGTACAATAATTATAGTATATTTCTATAATATGTAACATCAACAACGAATAGACATAAAAAAAAGTGGCATCACTTGCAATGAAACTCGTCTCGTTGCATTCTAAGAAAGAAAAGGATGCCCACTTTATCCATCTCGTTTTACAGTGAACAACCCAGTTTATACATATTATGACGATGAAAAGTACTTTAACCTTGAACAATATTAGACTCACTTCAGGTTATTACTCCTCTTGAAAACTAGCATTTTCAATACCACGTAATACACCTTACTACCTTATTACTGGCTGTTACAAATTAACGTCTATTTTAGTAGAATTTTTAAATCTGCAACTACTTCGGTGGCTGTATTTAATTTTTAGCATGGTTTCAATTAGTATTACTTCCGTTTCAAAATAGAAGGTAACCCGCGGCTGTTATCCAATAATAAAATAAACAAAACAATTATTTTTTATATAAGTCAAAATAACTGTTTTCGTGTTTTAATCGCAATACTTTTTACTTGATCCATTTATTTAGTAGGTAGAGAGATAGTAAGATTTAAGATACACAATTTATATTATCTGTACTATATTATGGTTTGTGAAAATAATGTGTATTATTATTGTTATTAAATATATTGGTTTGTAGCTTACCGATGAATTTAAAAGAGTTATGTATATTATATAAATTTATTTACAAGTATTACAACCACACGTAATAACAGAATTTCTTTAAAAAAAAGTTTTGCATACAAAATAATCAATATCTTTACATAAAAGCTCCTGACATTCATTACCGAATACCAATTAATAATGATACTAATATGAATCAGTGGCGGCTATCCTAAAAATAATATGCATGCTTAGGATATTTTTACTCGCCTACCTACGATGCATGGTTATATTTAGACCTCATAGACCATAGTATCCACTTAGTACCACAAAAATACAAAATACATAGGTACATCACCAATATTCAATCAGAGGTTCACATATTATATTTTCAATTTTTTTTTTTATTAATTTTTGATGATGCCAAATTATAATTTGTCTATAAGAAATTGTGTGATAGTTATTATAGTAGCAAACATTTTTTCTTGTAGTAAATATATATTTGTGGTATTCTAAGGGTCAAAAGTAAAATTGTCTAGTACGTTTTAAAATGGCCGGCAAAAACAATAAAACAGTTTGGAGAAGCTGTAGATTAGCAATTCCATGGAATTTCTACCCCAAAACAGTTTTTTTAACCCAAAAATGAACATTCAATCTTCTTGGGCTCGACATTTTCACCGAATGACAATAATAATTCATATATAACGACAATTCTCAACATGAAATAATTTTCAAAATATTTCGGCTATTTTTGTGTTGTTTGCTTGTTTACCATCAATAGGTATTTTAAATTGTCTAGTTTTTTAGTTTCTTTTCTATTTGTTTTATGTTCAGTGATTAATAATTAATTATTATAAAATGACTCATTATATTGCAACATTTTTTTTAAACATGTTACACCAATGAGTCATTGTATAATAAATAATTATTAATCGCCCAATATTCAATCACCCTCGAGGCACGGACCATAGAATTACCGCCACTGAATTATGAATAGGTACCTACTTGATAAAATTATTAATATTTAAATTTTAAGATAGGTAGGTAATGATTTTTTTGTGATAAGTATTTAAAACTTTTTAAAGATAGAAATGTCAAAAATATTTTAATCAAATGTATATAATATAGTACACCCATGTAAAAATAACTTCAGTTAGATAATATGTATTACCTATATCTAAATATAACTTAATTTCGATATATTTATGTGTCATAATATATCTAGTACATCGGCGTAATTAGGGTGGAGCTAGGAGATCTTAGTCCCTTTTTACGTTATTACTTTCTAGTCTCCCCTAGTTAAAATTCAAATCCTTGCTTAAAAAAAACTGTCAAGGGTTCAAAATGTAAAATAATTACTGGCTGTAATCTATATAGTATATAATATCATTGATTATAAATACTAGTATTTATTATTTATATAATCAACATGGGCGTGCTTCACCAAAAACGACCAGGGCCCTAATTATTAATTAAGTGTAAATTAAATTAATGAAATTATTAATGTCGATTATCATTATTAGATTGTATATCCATATATATTGTTACGTGATATTTATTAGAATGAATAATAAAATAAAATAAATATTTTTAGTGCATTTGATATCTTTAAAACATTTGTCTGTATCTATAATTGTTTTCAAAATTATTGTGGGCCCTAATAAAAGTCTGCGCACGCCTATGAATTATTGATAATATTAATATTAATATTATTTTAATAATATTGTGAATGTAACATTTCATTTTTTACGACGAGAAGGATGTTTTTACATAAAGGTTTATTTTCAACTTTTATTTTACAGGAGCCCCTTGTCCTTGTCTATGTGACTGCTAAACTCTATAGTTACGCTCTGCACGCTAGGGGATCGGGGAGCTTTGAACTTTGGTTTTCAATGACTAGCCTCCCTGTACCTAACTATTAAATCCTTGTTATTAGTAATACTATATATTAGTTCCCATATGGTATCTATTGTGAAGCATTTATTGAGCTTCGGAGATTTTTGAAATTCGTTTTATCGGCACAATAAACGTATGTGTTCTCCTTAACAATTTATACAGCTGTGATCACAATCATTTTAGAGTCTTAGCGGAGCAATGCATGATTAGGTTTTCAATAATGTGTGTTATTTTTTAATTTTGTGTCTCTCATCAAGTGTTTTGGTGCAGAAAAATGCTTTAATAATGTTCAACAATTGATATTGTTGCTGTTAGTAAATTAGATCTAGTTGGTACCTTACAAAGGCCAAAAGTAAAAAATTCAAAGCATACTTTTTAAAATAATTGATTAAAACTAACAAAAAATAGAGGAAAACTTGACTATAATTACTCAACACCAGTATTCGAAAAAATCGATTTTCTTTTTATTAATTCATAAAGAATAACCGCGATGTCTTCATCAAATATTTAAACCAATATTTTCTACACATAATATAATTTTCAAAATATTTTGTCTCGTTTCAAGCTATTGATTGGCATTTTAAACATATTTTTATTTATGTTTCTTATACAGTGGTTTATAATTTAATTAAAATATAATATATCCGTTATAGAGAATAGTTACTTTCATACTCAATGTCAAAACCAACTATACAGCAGAGCAAGTTACCCGTTTTTTTTTATGCTATTGTGTGTTATATTATACAATACATAATTTTTGTTGTGAACATTTACAAATAGAAGCAACACACTGTTAGTCTATCTTGAAATGAAGAGTACATTAGATATATCCATAAAATAACTGAGATATAAACAATCTTATTTTTACGATTAAGCCACTTGTTTACTTAAATTAAATAAACTAATGAAGAATATTCATGTCATTATTTGTTTTACAGGCTTCCCGGCTCCAGTTTACAAATGGTACAAAGATGGGAAAGAATTAGGAGATTTTTCATCTGAATATCAGTCGTTCCGTCTTTTAAATCTTAAACATGACGATGGAGGAACTTATCAATGTATAGCAAAAAATGAAGTTGGATCGATACTGTCTCAAAAAATTGAAATAAACATTGCATGTAAGTTTAATATTATATTTAACATAACTATTAACTACATTAATTACGATATAGTTCTATGTCTATATTACAGCTATAATTTTATTAAATTTAAGTGGTTTTATTTTGAATGAACAATAACATGTTTATATAGTGGAAAGTGTTTCAAGTGCATATTTCCGAGAAAGTGTTACTGTATCTTAGTTAATTTTGTTTACTAAATTAAATAACTTTGATCATCGCTCATTAAAATAGTTTATATATTTTTCCTTTCTTTATTTGTAAATGCAATTATTTGGAAAATTCGTTTCAAATTCACACTACACTTGTAAGTTATAAAGATAGGTAGTTGAAAGAATACTGGTCTTGTGATCTTGTGCGAATATTTTTAAATTTCTCTTTAAACTGTTTGTGAGAATCTAAGAACTGAAGGATATGAAAATTAAAAAAGTGAACAATTAAAGACGACTAACTTGTTTTATATATTTATTAATCGCTTGTAAGAGTTTTATAGGTTAGGTTAATAAGACCTTATATTGGTTTTCAAATATTTAATTTTTAAATCAACACTACAAACATATTATGTAAACCAGTAAACCTCACGAAACTATTATTGATTTAATATATTTTGTATTAATCAAAGGTTTATGTCTATATATTTTATTATATTATATGGTATTATTAATAATAGGTACCTACTACAATAGGTACATCGTGAATCGTGATTTATATTATTTCTGCTTGTATGTTCAAAAGTAAATAAACAGTGTATAGGTACCATTGATTTTGTTGTCTATTATAAGACAAATGGTGTAGTATAGGTACGTTAATTTTATTTTTATATGACTTGTTAAAAAAATTATACTGTAAATATACTGTCTTGTATCTTAAAAATATTAAAAAAATGATAACAAAAATGTTTCTATTTTTTTATTGTCAATAAATAATACACCGGATCAATATGAGAGTGATATAGGTTAAACAAAGTAATATAATAGTATTAGTAGGAAATATAATATATTTTATTATGTATATATGTTTTTTTTTTATTGTGTTGCATTAGTGGTCATAAATCATTGTTTTCCTAAAAAAGGGAACATCAAATGTTGGGCAGAAATGTCAAAACAATAATCGTTAAATTATTGTTGGGTGAGCCGATGGAATAGCTATTTAGTATTTATATTAGAGGTGTGTATTTATCGGCGCACACCAGTTCACAATTCCATTCCCAAAATATACCAATTGGCAATTGCCTCCCATCGCATTATCGTAAATAAAAAGGATTGACTCCGATGGATGATCAGGGAGTTCGTAAGTATATATGGGCCGTCTCCCATATAGAATTAAGTAGTGATTTAGAAATTTCACTAAAATAAACAACGTAAATAGATGATTCCTATATAATATACATTATACCTAACATAATATTATGTTATAAATTTATAATTATAAAAAATCGTATTTTTCTATTTTGTAATAATAAACATTGGTGTCTTAAGTAGATATGGGAAGAACATTATATACTATTATTAAATTGTTCAATACATTTTTTTTAGATATTTATAATTATGTGTACAGTTAAAAAATATTAGTCTTAGGTATCCATATGGCTATTGTATACATTTGTACAATTAATACACAACTTCTAATATTAATAATGTAGAATTATAAAATGTTTGAACCGTTTTGAAATCACTTATTCATTTATTAACTGCCCATTGGAGGCAACTAGTACTAAACTATTTTCATTTATGATACAGTTTAGGGTACGTACGTAAGGAGGTAACGCAACTCGTATTAAATCGGGAGGCAATTTATATACAAATTATCAACCTTTTTAACTTTAGTAGGCAACTAATATGCACCCATATTTGTTGTTTTATACACGAAAAAGAGCTTATTACAATCCAAAAAATATTTGTAATAGGTATTTAAATAAATTAAGTATAGTTACTTATCAAAAATAAAATCTACAGACCTAAAGTTTTTGAATACATTACTAAAGCAAATTATACTAAGTAACTATTTTTTTAGAATAAAAATACAATTAAAGTATATTATCCATAGTTTATATTACATAATATTATAGTAAAATATTATCATTGAGTATATATTGCATAATATATAGTATACGATACTATATAGGTAGGTAGTCAATAGTATTAAATATAAAGTTACATGTTTGTTTACTACGTACCTACGTTTAGCTTTTTTTTAATTACTTACAATATATGTTGCAAGTACATTTTTAAGGTTAACGCGTATTCAATTTATTTTACTACGTTTTAATTTTAGATATGGAAAATTTTATGGAAGTTACCGATCCAATAGTCAGAGTTGAAAGAGGCCAAGCAGCAATTTTAGATTGTCCACCAATTAAAAGCTACCCACCACCTATGGTACAGTGGTTAACTGATGACGGCACTCAGCTGTATGACATAAAATATGCCTCAGTTGCAGAGACCCATCAATTAGTGGTATTATCAGCCTCTGACAGCGATCAAAAAGCATACAGGTCAATTGAATATACCATATAATTATTTTACAATTAATATCAAGAGATATATATTTCCTTCTTTAATAATTATTGTTTTAAATTTATATGCCAATGAAGTTATACGATAGCTTATTAAGTTTTTATAGGGTACACCTTTATATTACACTACTGTATAGTATTATGCGTGTTCATAATATTCGTTTTAATTCCTTTAACAACAGATGTCTACTTATACCTAGCTATACCTATTTGTTGTTATTGACAATGCAAACATTTTTATAGGGTGAGAGCAACAAATCCTTTGTTAGGAAAAGATGAATTTAGTCAGTATTTAAGAATCAACACCATAGGAGGATCTCAGTCCGGAGAAATTGCTCCTTATTTCGTCGTTAAACCTAAAGGAAAACATATAATCAAAGGTCATAAAACTACCGAGCTCCAGTGTATAGCCAATGCGAGGCCCTTACACGAATTAGGAACTCTGTGGTTCAAAGACGACATACCGATAGAAAATACAAACGGCGTTGATTACATTTACAACGATCCGTGGAACAGAACTTTATCACTTATTAATGCCAAATTGACTTATACCGGTCGGTATACTTGTCAGATTCGATTTGTATCTGGTGGATATGCGCCTATTTCTGCAGACGCTGATATTTTTGTCTTGGGTTTGTTAAAAAAATTATAAACTATAAAACTATAAACTATAAAAATTATCTTATTTGAGTTTAAAAAAAAAACATAATTTGCAGAACCTCCAACATTTGTTGGTAATTTGAGGATGGAAACCCTTGGCGAATACGGGTCTACTGTTAGAATTAGTTGTGACACCATCGGGGTGCCACAGCCGAAAATAACTTGGTATCGTAACGCAGAGACAATAAGTCAAAACAATAGGTAATGAATAATAATATGTTTTAGTGAAAAAACCATTCCATACACCGTTGTTTAAAATTGTATTAAATATATACTACGATCGTTGCTTAAAGGTATATAGTTGAAGAAGATGGTACTTTAGTAATAAAGAAATTGAACATCGAAGATTCTGGTATGTTTCAATGTGAAGCAGAAAACGAAGCTGGGACAGATTCTATTAGTACGTGGTTGAAAGTCAAAAGTAAGTACTGCACATACTCGTAAAATTTTTGTCTTTGTATTTGTATTTTTTTTTATTAATAAAATTGGGTTAATTAAAAATATTGTTTTATCTTATCGGAATGGTATAGAATTATAACACTAACTATAAAAATGGATTAGAACAAAAATAAAATAAAGTTATTTCTTATGTGCTTATAGTACGTAATCAATACAATGAATTTAATTTAGGTTATAGGTATCTATAGTGTCTATGGTATTTTTATAGTATATTATTTATAATAGTCATAGTTATTATGATAAAAATATTTCGATAATCCTTTCTAATTAATTAAAAATATTGATCTGTCCAGCTTTTCTTTAACGACTATTCCTAAATGGATTGATTCGTTTCAGTTTTGTGGGAAAATGTTATGTTCGTTAACGTATTTAGACTGTAACAATAAAAAACAAAAATACTATAGTCATCAAAATTCTGTTTGTAAATCCAATAAAATTATCGTGGTCGGGGAGCATGAAATCAGGATTTGATTACCCAAGTCGAAAATAAAAGCATATCTAATAATGATTTTAACGTTGACGAATCTAAAAAAGTTCTAGGTATTGTATTAAAAAAAAAAAGAATAGTGTCTGTTTTGTGCCATAAAAATAAAATCCCAAGAAAAAAAATTACGAATCTAAACATTAAATATTGTTGCAGACATCTGATTTTTACAGTTGTATTACACAAGTCACTCTTTTGTACGGATTTGGCGCATATTATACATAATATCATTAATTTGTTGACTGTTGAACAATGTACGAAATGTAAATACTTTTATGGTTAATGTAGGACGTTCTAAACGATGGACGAGAGCCTCTGTGTACAGAATGATGCCATGGCAACACCCGAGTGCCCGAAAAAATTTGCCTCGTAAGGTTTTGCTTAAAAACGCGTGGTTATTTGACGTAGCCACGATGGAAATATTATTTTTTAGCACAGCACTTTGCACTATTATAGTTACGCATTACGCATATAGACACAAAGTTAAACAAAATATGTACATTTGACATGTAAATTTGGGAATGGCGAAGTGTTTAGGTATACAAACCATTCCAATGCCGTATTTTTTTTTTTTTTTTTTTTTAGTGAAGCTGTATTCTATAGTTTTGTTTGCACATTGTATGAGTGGCATAGCCAGGATTTTGCTTTGAGGGGGGGCTAATGATTTGCTATATGGGGTCAGGCATAGCTATAGAATCTCTCTTAAGTTTAGTATGGTAAAGTTGTGGTTTTATAACATTTTAAAATTGCAGCAGCCTACAGATTACAATTTTAATACATATAATATGTTCACTAAAACCATTTTTTAATTTCCTGAAATTTTGTAGGGAGGGCGGCAGCCACCTCAGCCTCCCTCATGGTTACACCACTGCATTAACAATCAACCTTACCCTCTAAAGTTTTTTTTTTTTTACTTGTCATTATAACATAGTTGGGATTTTGAAACAAAAAAATTTTTATGCTTCAAAATCCTAACTTTAGTTATTAGTATTTCAAGTATATTATGTATTTTAATAACCTGATATTATGTAGTTATAACATTAGAATAATTAAAACAATTAAATATTTTTTTACGTGCCAAATCACAAATAATAAAAAGTTTTGAACAATTAATGTAGGTACTTAATTTTTATTGTAAACTATCTACTTAACAATATTTTTATTATTTGCTCCATTTTACAGCTACTGGTCCAATCATTGAGAATGAGCCACAAAATTCTACAGTTCTAGAAGGAAATGAAGTTATATTGTCTTGTAGAGTTATTGGCGCACCTAAACCAAATACAACTTGGACCTTTGGTGGTATGGCTTTATGATTTAAAAACATTTTAAATTAATTAAAATATAATTAATTTTCTTCTGTTTTAGATTTATTTGTATCATTGAATGAGAGAATTCGCATACTAGATACAGGAGATTTATTTATATCGTCCACAAAAGTCCAAGACACTGGAAAATATTCTTGCATAAGATCAAATGAAGCTGGCACTGTGGAAATGCATGCTTATATTAAAGTTCTAGGTATTTATTTCTTTTGTCAAGAAATCGAGGGTTAAAACAATTATCTATAATTAGAAACTGAAGAAACAAATATAGAAGTTTTAATTTTATCAAAATTGAAATTTTATTGTTTTAATACATATTTATTATTATATCCATTAATATTATTAACCTTTATTTTTTTTAGGTAAAACTACCATTGTCGAACCACCTATGGATACTAGAGTTTTGCTAGGACAAAATTCTATTATGAAATGTAAAGTGTCGAGTGATCCTTCTGTACTTTATCAAATTGATTGGTTTCATAATAACAAGTATGTGGTAATTCTTGATGTGAAGAGCCTTTTTAAATTGGTTATGCTATATAATTTATTAGGAGTCTTGGAGCTGGAAATTCAAGAATAAAAGTTTCAGCTGATGGTACCTTAGAAATAGGAGTTGTACGTGCTGGTGATGCTGGTGTCTACACTTGTTCAGTTTCATCTCCTGGAGGCAATGAGAGAAGACATGCACATTTAAGTATACTTGAATTGCCTTATCCTCCAAATGTTGCTCAGGCTGAACGTGTTGGACCCAGATCTGTAAATGTTTCTTGGACTGTGGGTTTTGACGGCAATAGTCCTATATTAAAATATATTGTACAAAAACGACAAATTGGTAGGCATTGATAATTAAATAATAGCTGCATATTTACCGTTTATTATACTATAATTTAATTATTTTAAACAAAATTCCAGAAACTCAATCATTATTGGATCCACTTGTTGATTGGGTTACTGAGCTTACCAATATATCTGCAAATTCTCGTTATGTGGTCCTGGAAAATTTAAAAGCAGCTAATACTTACCAGTTTAGAATCAGTGCTATGAATGCAATTGGTGAAGGAACACCTTCACAACCGAGCAATTTTGTTACATTACCACAACAAGGTTTGATCAATTAATAAGTGTAATAGAACTAAATTTCTTAATATTGTCTGTCTTTTAGCTCCATCTGGACCACCTTTAGGGTTTGTTGGCTCAGCTAGGTCAAATTCTGAAATCATTACTCAGTGGCAACCTCCCTTAGAAGAACATCATAACGGACAAATTCTTGGATATATTATAAGATATAGGTTACATGGTTATTTTAATAGCCCGTGGACTGATCATAATATTACTAGTGGGGTAAGTCTTAATTGTATTATTTAAAAATATAAATGTAATCATGTAGATACCTATCTCATAATTAGGTAATAAATATTATACAGTTGCTAACTAATATTTTCCATTCGTTTTATGATATTTTTCAGGCTCAGCATTATTATTTAATTCAAGATCTAATTACATGGAAAGACTATGTACTTCAAGTAGCATCCTACAATAATAAAGGAGTTGGAGTTTATAGTGATAGTATAAGAATAAAGACTAAAGAAGGAGGTTTGTTTTTATTTAATTATTTATTTATTTATTTATTTATTTTTTTTTATCATATTGTAAACTCAGTATTATAAATTATAATGATCCATTTAAATTAGTCAACAATTAATTTAAACCATCTTATAATCTTTTTTTGATCTGGCAATCATTTATTATTTTAGTTATACAAAATAATCATAATTTTTGTCACAGTTCCCGAAGCAGCTCCAATTGATGTAATTGCTAGACCAATTAATAGTACTTCGGTTCAAGTTTGGTGGAAACCTCCAGATCCACAAAAAATTAATGGAATTAATCAAGGTTACAAACTTCAAGCTTGGATTGGTGAGTTATAGCTTAAAATAATTATTTATTTAATAATTTGATTATGATTTTTTCCTTTTACATAACATTTTTCTACTGTTAATAAAAAAATGTATATCTTATTATTATTTCAATGTATATAGGAGAACGAGTGGAACATGAAATGACAGTTGCTCCTAGTTTATTTGATCCACTTGCTCAGCAGACCACAACGTTTGTGAACCTTAAGAAATTTACAGCCTATAATGTGACAGTGTTATGTTTCACTGATCCTGGAGATGGTCCAATCAGTAGTCCATCACTAGTTGTTACACACGAAGATGGTAATTACTAATTATTAAATAATAATTTAAGTTAACTGTATTTAAACATCTTTTAATTAAATATACATATATAATTCAAATATATACCTATTATTTGATATAGTTAAATTAGTGAAACTAATTTTATCTTTAACACAAATACTTTATTCAAATTACTATTTATTATTTTATTTTCAGTTACTATAAAATTTAGTATTTTATTACATAGTTTATTTATTTTTAATCTTAAATTACGCTGCCAAAAATAATATCAATAATTTTATTTATTTTTTTAGTTCCCGATTTAGTTGGTAGTCTCCACTTTGAAGATGTATCAGATCGTTCTGTGAATGTTGTTTGGTCTTCACCATTACATACAAATGGTCATTTGATTGCCTACACTGTGTCTTATTCCATACGTGATCGACCAGAAACCACTCACTTAGTAAATGTCACCTCAGACATCACCAGTATTGTAATTGATCAGTTACAAGCCACAACCCACTATAAATTTGAAGTATTTGCTTGGACAAAAGTTGGTCCCGGTCCTAGTAGAATAGCCACAATACAGTCTGGTATTGAACCGGTTTTGCCCAATCCACCAACCAAGTTGGCCATAACAAATATTGAGCCATTTTCAGTTGTGCTCCAATTTACACCAGGTTTTGATGGAAATTCCTCTATTACTAAATGGGTTGTAGAAGTATGTTAATTAATAACTAAATTTTATTTTTAACCATGAAATAATTATTTTATTTTATATTTTGGTAATTAGGCACAGACAGCAAGGAATACAACTTGGTTTACTGTGCATGAAGAAAGTAGTCCTGAAGCAACTACACTGAAAGTTCTTCAATTAGTTCCTTACACATTATACCGTTTAAGAATCACTGCATGGAATGTAGTTGGTGCATCAGAGCCTTCAGACCCAACTAAGGATTTTCAAACTATTCAAGCACCACCAGCTCATCCCCCTTATAATGTCACTGTCCGCGCAATGTCTTCTACTGAACTTCGAGTCCGCTGGATTGTAAGTATTAGAAAGAATCTTTTGATTTTTAATTTGAAGAATAACAGCATTTTAACAGCATTTTGTTTATCATTTAGCCTTTGCAACAAAGTGAATGGTTTGGAAATGGAAAAGGTTATAATATAACTTATAGATTATTGAATACTAGTGTTGTATATACGGTCACAATTGAAGACATTACCTCAAATTCATTTGTTTTGGACTCTTTACAAAAATTTACTCAATATGATGTAACCATGAATGCGTTTAATGATGTTGGATCTTCTGGTCCTAGTCCACCAGCTTTTGAACGTACTAGAGAATCAGGTAATATCATTAAAAAAAAAAAAAAAAAAAAACTTTAAATTTATAGGTACATGTAAATTAATTAACTAATTATTTGTAATTTATAGTGCCATCAATGGGACCCATAAATGTTATTGCAAATGCAACATCTTCCACAACCATTGTTGTTAGTTGGGGTGATGTACCTTCTGATCATCGAAATGGAATCGTTGAAGGATTTAAAGTAAATTAAAATATTTTTAATTAACTATTATATTTATTGAGTTAAGAAATTTAAAAAAAAAATTGTTATTTTAAATAGGTTTATTACAAGCCAGGTGGTCGTGCTGTGTATCCTGTACAAATTAAAGATATCCCTAAAAATTCAACTTTCACAACTACATTGACAGAGCTAAAAAAATTTGTTCAGTACAGCATACAAGTTCTAGCTTACAGTCGGTTAGGTGATGGTGTGTTATCTACTCCAATTACTAGAGTTCAAACTTTTGAAGATGGTGAGTACAGTCTTACAAAAGAAACTAATGTATATTTATAATTTATAAAAATACAATCTTAAAGTATATTATTTTGTGATTTATAGTACCTGGTACCCCATCAAATGTATCTTTTCCGGATGTTACTTCAACCACTGCCAGAATTATTTGGGATGTCCCTGCTGATCCCAATGGTGAAATTCTTGCTTATCGCATAAATTACCAGTTACATAGTTCTGAGGGATATAATTTTTCCAAAGAATTTCCTGCTTCAGACAGGACATTCAGGTAATATATATATATATATATATATATATTAATTAATATAACAATTTAAAACATCAACTTTATAATGCACTATACAGCGTGGTTCTTTTATCAAACAACACTCATTATTTTAAAAAGTGTAAATTTTTTTGAAAATATTTTTTTACATAGTTTCAAGTCGCTTATAAAACAACGTTTTTATTAAAAAATTATATTTTTAAATATTTTTTATCCTTATAATTTTTTAAGTTTTTTACTTTTTTGAATAATAACATAGGGTTTTGATTTTATATTCCAAAGCAGAATATTTTTCTTAGTATTTTGATACATGAAAATCGAATTTGGGTTGAGTAGTTTATGAGTTATAAGTATTTAAAGTTTAGTCGAGCGGAGTGGAGTGGTTCGGGGTTACCCCGCGAAATGTTTGTCCACTTCACCGCTCGTCTAAACTTTAATTACTTATAACTCATAAACTACTCGCCCCAAATTCAATTTTCATGTATCAAAATACTAAGAAAAATATTCTACTTTAGAATATAAAATTAAAACCCTATGTTGTCATTCAAAAAAGTAAAAAACTTAAAAAATTATAAGGATAAAAAATAATTAAAAAAATAATTTTTTAATAAAAACGTTGTTTTATAAGCAACTTGAAACTACACAAAAAATTTACACTTTTTGAAATAATGAGTGTTGTTTGATAAAAGAATCACCCAGTATTATAGTTATTATATATGGATATATTATGTTTATGATAATATTTTTGCAGAGCTATTGATCTTATACCTGACCAGTACTACATGTTTTGGGTAACAGCCCAAACACGTTTAGGCTGGGGTAAAAGTCAGTCTGCGCTTGTTTTTTCATCAAACAACCGTGAAATACCACAAGCTCCTTCGTCACCTCAAATAAGTCGCAGTCAGATTCAAGCCACGCAAATCACATTCAGTTGGACCCCAGGACGAGATGGCTATGCTCCATTAAGATATTATACGGTACAGAAGTCTGAAGAAATTGGTCCCTGGACTACTATACCTGAACGAATAGATCCATCCATTACTTCTTACACAATCCAAGACCTCTTACCATTCACTTTATATCGGTTTCGTATTCAAGCAACCAATGACATTGGTCCAAGTACTTATAGTCATGAATCCCCTCAAGTCAGGACTTTACCTACCTGTGAGTTGTCAACATTAATAAATAAAAAATATGCACTCAATTTGTTGTACCTAATTCATTTTAAATGTATTTTAATTATTTTCAGCGCCAAGTCGTGTAGTTGGTAAGGTTCAAGTTGTACCCATTACAACAACAAGTGTGCGGGTTACCTGGGAACCTATACCTCCTCAGTATTGGAACGGTGATACCCAAACTGGTGGCTACAAAGTTTTGTACCAACCTGTTTCTGACATTCCTATGGCATTGCAAACAATTCCTAGTCAAATGATTATAGGCACAACAGAAAAAACTCTTGTTATTGGAGATTTAGTTCGTGACAGAAATTATGATATCATTGTTGTGCCATTCAACTCTCAAGGAAATGGTCCACCTTCTATGCCTATTCCTGTCTATGTTGGGGAAGCAGTCCCTACAGGTGAACCTCGTAGTGTATCAGCATTTGCCATATCATCAACAGAAGTTCGATTGTCTTGGGAACATCCTCAACAAAATCAACAAAATGGAGATTTATTGGGATACAAAGTAAGTTCTTTTTCAAAAATTTTAAATTTGTGAAATTATTATGACTGTTTATTTTTTTAATAGATATTTTACATTGTGACCGATTCACCAAATGAACATCGTGTGGAAGAAGAAACAGAAGTCGTTCCTGCCACTTATATTAGCCACAGCTTGGTATTTTTGGACAAATACACTGAGTATAAAATCCAAATACTTGCATTTAATCCAGCTGGTGATGGACCAAGGTCTGCTCCTATTATTGTTAGAACTCATCAGGTATAATTACAAATAATGTTGTTATTTTAAGTCCCCTACTCTAAACTGATTTCTTATTTTTTTCTTATAAGGGAGTACCTGGTCCACCTACTGATCTTCAATTTTCCGAAATAACAATGAATAGTCTTAAAGTTTCATGGACACCTCCAAAACGAAAAAATGGCCAACTTCTAGGTTACATAATTACGTATGAAACAGCTGAACAAAACGAACGTAAATAACATACTTTACTCTTGTTTATTTTAATAGTGAACATTTAGTTTATTAATGTTAACATTACACAGGTTTTAGTAAACAAGTAAAACAAAGAGTAAACCAAACGTGGCTTCTTGTTCAGCCTCTGGAGGAAGAAGTGACTTATACATTCTCAGTCAGGGCTCAAACTATAGATTTGGGAGTAGCAATTAAAGGAAATGTGACTACTGGGCCACAACCAGGCTCACCCAAGAGTCCATCTGACCTGTCACTAGTAAAAACTGTTTCTAGTGTTGCACTTAAATGGACAAATGGGGCGTCTGGAAAAGGACCAATCCTTGGATACTACATTCAGAGCAGGCGAAAAGGTAATATTTAGAAACACTAATAACACAATGGTCTAAATTATTTTGTTAGTTTGTTAAAAAAAAATATCCTAAGTAAAGCAATATGTTTTTTGTTTTTTGATATATTATTTACTATTCAGCCACTCAAGACTGGGAACATTGTAAGTTTGTTTAAAAAGTTTTAGAAGTGAATGTTACTATGTACTGTGTGTGTTGCTTTTGTGTTTGATTTGGGGAGTAATTTCAATGTCCATTCATTTTTGTATGACATGATCTTGGTTAGCAACAAAGTTAAAAAATATTGTAATATATTATATTATGTTTTATTTTATATGACAATATTTAATTTATAAATTATTAAACAAAATCTTATGAAAAATGATTTAAAAATGTATGCTGATATACAAAATCTATATTGATCATAATATTTTGTTGTCATGAATATTAATTGATTAATTGACACGCTAATCACAATAAAACAAAGAGTTGCATAATCATTTATTTTTGTAAACTAAAACCTCTGCTGACTGCTTCTTATACTTAATAGTTAAATATTAACAATATTTTGTTAAGAGAAATTAATCAATAATATATTTTATAGTAATTATTAATTTATAATATTATATCGATGTATATAATGAGATCAGAGATAGCATAACTGCAGAATACTAATTGTGTTCCTACAATTCTACACAATTTTTATTTTATTTAATATTTTAATGTAAATTCATAACATAATATACCAAATTCAAAGTATATAAAACATTATGTGACCATATATGTCACGCTGTCCCTAAAGAATGCAAAAATGTCATACATAGAAAAAAATGGCAATCTGTAGCATTGCATTCTATCAAAACAGATTTATTTAAGTTTTATTACAATATTACATTCTTGTATATGTATACTGTGTTTATTTATCCTCATGGTTAAAAATTATATAGTAATAATTAAAGACGTTATCGCAGTGTCCACCCCTTTGACCGCTTGTATATATATTATATATATATAATATATAGGATACAATCATCAAAATTATAGCTCCTGAAAATCGTTTGGTAGAAGTATTCACTTTTAGACACTTTCATTCCCTGACTTAAATATTTGTAGAATTATAGAGTACATTTTTTGTATGCTAGCCTACCTGATATTTTACAGCAAATTTGCTCATTCTTTAATATACATAGAAAACCAGCCCACTAAAATTGCTTAAGATTAGTTCTATTTCAATTTTAAATTGTCTAGTTTTTAATAAATAAACATAAAATATTATTTCACTTATTTTGAATAGTTTGTTTTGTTATGTTTTCCTATTGTAATTTTATACAAAAAATAATTAAAAATATATTTGTTTTCCCTATTAAAATATGCAGGTGTCTCTAAAGGCAAACATTTATAATCACGTTAATAATATATGAACAGTGAACAATACAGTTCATAGAAAAATGTATGTTATATGCTTACATGTTTAACATGGTTCTTAATGTATTGCGTTAATCATGAACATGTTAAAAGTGTTTTTAAAATATTTAGATGGCACGTGTGTCTTATGCACTATGCTTGATATGTTAAATTGTTTGGTTGCTTATTTATTAGTTTGTATTGTTTTCAGATGACACACGTTGGACAACAGTCACAAAAAGTAACAGTGGACCATTAGATGAATTCTCCGTGTCCTATCAAAGTTTGCTGCCATCTACTTCATATTTGTTTAGAATTGTAGCTCACAATGAGTTTGGTATTAGTTATCCTGCTTATTCAGATGATGTGGTATGTATACAATTTAATATTAAAAACTATTTGCTATGATTTGTATATATTATTTTCATTATACATTGTAGGTTTTAACTCCATCAAAACTTTACTTGGAGTATGGTTACTTACAAATGAAGCCGTTTTATAGACAGACATGGTTTATGGTTGCATTAGCTGCTGCATCACTAGTTATACTTATTACGGTTATTGCTATACTATGTGTTAAAAGCAAAAGTTACAAATACAAACGTTAGTTAATTTCTATTAATTTATTTATTAAACCTTATAAAACCCTATAAAACCAATTTTTGCTTAAAATGTTAATACTATATATAGAAGAAGCACAGAAAACTTTGGAAGAATCTATGGTTATGGACATTGACGATCGACAGCAATTGGCCATGGAACTTCATAGAACCAGAATGTCAAACAACAATTCTCTTGGACGGATGTCCATTCATAACACTTTACACCATTCACTGCACAGGCGAAAACCACCAATCGGGACTTTAGGAAAATCTCCACCAAGACCATCTCCAGCTAGTGTTCCTTACCATAGTGACGATGACAGTGTTAAGGGTTATGATGAAAATCCAGATGATAGTTCAGTTACTGAAAAACCTTCAGAAATCAGTTCAACAGACTCTCAAGTATGATATTTAATTTATATATATTTCAAAGGTTATGAAAAGGGGTTAGAAAACCTGTTATATTTAGATAATTCAGTGAGGGGTTTCAGTGCCCTTTCAATTATATTTTTACCATAACTTAAGAACTACATGAAAAATAGTTTAAATATTAATTTCCAGTTGATATGTTTTATTATTATACAATAAACTACAACAATCTTAGCTAGATATTAAATACAGTTGAACGATAGTCTTATAAACAGTATGGTCAATCAGAGTTCCTTAGTGGCGGGCTGCTGTACTTGTCCTGGAACTAACAAACTTAACATTTTGTATGTCTTATATATGCTAACGATTGTATGTATATATGTGTGCCCGGGTGACTATGATTTGTTTATAAACCTTCCTTACTATCAATATTTATATTTATACTTCCTATTCTACAGTATGTATAACTGTGTCACACATATTTTATCCGCCACAGTGTTATTAATAATTACTGCATATTTAACTTCTAGGGATCTGAAAGTGAGAATGAGAGCGTGAGATCAGATCCGCACTCGTTTGTTAACCACTATGCCAATGTCAATGATTCATTAAGACAGTCGTGGAAACGGCAAAAACCTGTTAGAAATTATTCTAGTTATACAGATTCAGAACCTGAAGGAAGTGCTGTTATGAGCCTTAACGGTGGCCAAATTATAATGAATAACATGGCTAGATCTCGAGCTCCGCTACCAGGATTCTCGTCGTTTGTTTAATTTCTTCTAGTGAGTGCCATCTTTACCAATCCGTCCATGATTTTATTTAATTTAAAATAACGTGTGTATTATTTTATAAATGTGTGTACTTTACTATGACTTATAAACTGGTCAACCTTACTCTAAAATTGAAAAATGTTTAAGTGTCTTTTACAGACTGATAAATTTTATGTTTAATTTAGCTCTATAACAATTTGATCTCAATTCTATATTTCTCTAGAAAAGGTTTTTACTTAAACTAAACATTCATAAATATTTTTTAGCCACATTTACTTATATTAAGATAAAAAGACTGATTGCGCTAAACCTAATAAATTACATTTCAGTATTATTTTTTATTTAAATTACAATCATTTACTGAATACTTTATTTAAATAACTATTGGTTTTATATTGATCTTGTCTACACTACAAATATAAATGCTATGCTATTATAAAAAATAATATTAAAACATAACATATCAGATGATAGTAATTTTACAATGTGTTTCTAATTTTAAATGCCATATTGATAAATTATTTCGTATTGTTGTATTTTTTAAATTCATCTAATAGGGTTTTAATTTCTTTATAATTTCTTATATTATAAATTTCTTTATAATTTCTTATATTATAAATTTCTTTATATTAATGAATATCTTGACTGAATTATTTTTGAAAAATTTAAAAAACACCTTCAATTGTGTTCTCTTTTATAATTTGTGTGTTGACCAAGATTATTTGATACATCTTTATTTTTAATGTAAATGTGGTCCAACAAATTTAATTGAATAGTTGTATTATTTCTAAATCGTTAATAAAAGTTTTGTTAATGCAAACTTGAATGCAAATATTAATGTTAATTGAATATCAAATGCTTTCACTATTTGTATTTTTAAGTTGTGTATATTATTGTAACTAATATTAAGTACCCTCACAATTATTGGAGCATTAATTAAGTAAACTAAATTATAGTATTATACAAAAACTGGGGGACCAAGCAATACATTTTTTTTTTATAAATAATACTTTAATAAAGTATTATTAGTAATTATATAAAAAAAAAAAAAAAATGTTTTAGTCAACAAATCGTAAAAGAATTATATTATAAATATTAGGGCCATTCTTACAATGTTCGGTAAAGTGTCGGTTTACACTAACCAACTGATAACAGTTTATTACCAGCAGAATTCGGCCGGTTAAGTGTCGGTTAACTTTAACCGGAAATTGTAAGAACGGGCCTAAGAATATTACTTATAAGCATGGTTAACTATACAGTGTAGATAACCCTACTTATTAGTGATAAATTGTATACTTTTATTTACTTTTTTTTTTAGTACAATTTCATTAGTTTAAAATCTTAAATAAGTAACCTAAGGCCAGTGTTAAACTGATTTGACATAATTGAAAAAAAATTCAGAGAAAATCTTAAGAAATGCATTTATATTTTTCAATTGATCTATGTCAATCCAGTGTATACTGGCTTTACTTTTGAAATGTTTTGCGTTTTTTCTAAGGTCGACCTATATTTTTCAAAATCTAACTATAAATACTAAAAAAAAAATCCAAATATTTTAAAAATTTTATTTTACTACTCGTGAAGTAGATAATATCATATTTATTTTACTATATTTTGTGTTGATTGTGTATTAAATTATATATGTTATCATAAAATGTATAGTATAGAAGAACTACAGTAATGGCAGCGTATTACAATTGGATAATGAACTTATTACTATAATAACAATTATTACACTCAAATTATGACCGCATTTATGGGTGACTAACGTAATGTCTAACAACTAATGGTAATAACTAATAAGTATATCTAACGTCCTTAAGATATTACATGACATTTTCTGAACACATATATTATTATGAGCGAATATTAAAATCAGAATACAATAAACATCTTAGATTTCAGATGTAATCATAGTACTAGTTACTCGTACTAGTCATTTCAGCAAATACTACTAATAAATTGTTATGTAGGTAATGTACTAATTACTAGGTGATTCTTTTAACATGAATTGTCAATAGTTAAAAACATCATAGTTATAAACCGATATATTTCATTCCTTGTTTCACATCAAATATGTCAAATCATTGCAATACACTGAATATTACATAATATATAATAATAAAAAATGACTGCTCTTAAATTCTTGATTTCCTGTGAAGGTTTAAAAATAAACACATCAGTCATAACAAAATGTGATTAGATATTATATTTGTTCATATTGACTGTACAACAATGATACCATTGATTAAATATTCTTGTATACATAACTCATGAGCCATTTCCACAGTAAACATATTCAATAACTTTTTTTTAATTTATAAAATCTAGAATACCTATTTAAGAAATATATCAACTATTTTAAGAAAATATATCAACTATTTTAATTTTATACTTACTGAAATTGTATGGATAAATATGGTTTTTACAATTTCTGCTATATTTATTAAGATAATGATTTAAGTCTGTGTGCTCGAAACTAAACAGTTTTCCAATTTGTGATTTTGATTTAAAACTACTCTTTTGGTAGATTGATTTTGGTATCTGTTGAGTTTTGACCATGTAACTTAATAATAATTGTAAACAATTTGTTTGCCAAACTAGTAAAATTAAAAGTGCTCTTACTACTTAGTATATTTTGTTTTTTTTTTTTTAGTTTGAAATCACTTATTGTTTATATTAGATTTTTTGTGTAAAGTTATGTTAACAAGATAAAACTTACTCATCTTATCAAAACATTAATGTATTTTTATCGTAATTACATTTTTTAAATCGTTCACTAGCTGTTTACTATTTAGACTTTACTTTTGTATTGTTAAATATTGTCCTATTTTTTAAAAATTTTTCATTTGGATGACCAATGTAGTATTAATTATTTTTAACATTAGTCGTGTCTCATATGTGAATTAACTTGTATTAAATAATACGACTAGCAGAATATGTACGTTAAACACATAAATAAACTGATAAACAACTGTTAGTTAAATGTAATATATATTGTGTTCAGTACCTTTTTGATTAAATCGACAATTTAGTGGTAATAATTTAAAGTTATCGATATCTATTTTTTTTTTTTTAAATATTGTTTGTAAATGTTTATATACATGTATTTTTATTTACTTGAGTATTAAGTTTTGTACAATAATGTCGTTTATAATTTTGTGTATTTTTTTTATTATTACTTTTATCACTGTAAATTTACATTTCTATAGATTATTGTGTATATTTATCTATAAAATTCAATATATGTCCATTTTAAATTAAAAAAAATTTAATAATTTACTAAAAGGTTTGATTTTTTTGAGAGATCTTTAGGAGAACACTGAAAGTTTTGTGTATAGTTAAAGTTTTTACTTTATAGATATAGTAAATACGTGTGTGAATTTATGAATATTAGAATAAATATATATGGGTTAGTGGGAATGTTAATTCATATTTTTCTAACTCGTTTAACTATGTTATTTTATAGAAAATTTAATTTAAAAGTCACTACTTAACTTGGACGCATACTAGTTGCGGACAAAATTATTCAGGTCAATATTGTAATATAACAATTGCGGAAACGTTATTCGTTATCATAATACTAGTTGCGTACAGAGTTTTTTTTAATAAAAATCAAGTGAGTTGCGGACACAAATATTTCCCTTCACCACTTTTTCAGGACTTAGAACAAGCTACCAAAACATTGGTAGGTGGGGTTAAAAATATTTGTGTCTTGCAAAAGAGCAATCGTTATTTTTAACTTTGTTAGGTGACAGAAATGGTAGACCGAAAAATAATTTTAAAAAGTTCCCATTTTCACCCTCAGTACTATATACTTTGGCTAGACCTAATGACTGTATTTTTCGGTACCAAGCTTGTCCGAGATGGAACCGACATCCTTTTATTTAGCTCATTGGCCATACTAGACGGACAGCTGAGTGAATAGATTGTTCAAAATTAATATGAAAAGTGGTTGGTAGTATTGGTGAACGTTTTTTCAAAAATTTGAGTGCTGTACAATAATCAGTAACTGATTTGCCCACCAACAAACAAAAACATAATGGTATGTAAATACTATTTTTTACGCCATGGACCACAAATAATTGATTAAATAGAGATGAACAGCTTGAAAAAGTACCATCCATCAAAACAGCATCACACTTTTGAAAAAAATTTAAATTTTTTATCGTAGAGAAGCACACAACATTTTTACTATTGTCAATGTCAATTATCCATTTTTCAGCTCCCTTGGTGTGTAATTTATCTACTACGTGGGACCGATAATTAAGTTTAGTATTGGATACTTACTCATACGAGAAGTGAATATACTCTTGGGAATAAATTTATATCTTTTGTGTCTAATATATTTAAATCACCTGGTGTAATCTCAGAATGTATAATTTTGCTGGGACGTTCACATAGCTGCTCTACCGCTTTGCGCTTGACACTATTACTTAACTTCTGCCGCACAAGTGATCGTTTCTCATCGGCCACGTGGTTATTATGTTCAAGATTATTTTCTATTTCAACACCATGTGTATTAAATTTTAAAAATTCATTACACTTTTTATTTGTACACGCCCACCGTTGGATTTCATTTTTCATTACGCGATGAAAACGGAACTTAAAACCGTCAACCACACGTAACTCTTTAAGTTTTTCACTATACATTTAGACAAGACGACAGATATTAAGCAAGCACGAGTAAGGTTGCCGCTAAACTGATTAAACATATTTTTTGACAGTCGTCTCAAAAGCACCTGCACAATCTTAATGTTGATAAATAATCAGTCCAATAATGTCATAAGCTTATATATATCGTCAATATTGAACAGTAATTTCCCAACGTTTGGAAATTTGTAAGCAATTAGTATGTTATATTTGTGTCTACAAAATTTGTCCGCAATTAGTATATTATATTTGTGTCCGCAATTCGTATGTTACCTTTTTAGATTTTGTCCGCAACTCGCATGGTTTTTGTGACTTTGTCCGCAACTAGGAAACACCGCTTAACTTAGTTAAAAATCCGTTAATTTTTTTTTTTTTAACTGAATATTTATATTACAATATGTCAAAGCATAGGTGGGATTTTCTCCTGTCCTCTTCTATTTATTTGTAAATGGTTTAATGGTGTCCACAATATTCTAATCATTACCAATTACTCATGTTTTATGATGAGATAAAGTTGTTCCTTTGTATCAGTACCCTTTGGGATTGTATTCTTTTTCAAAAGGACCCTAACTCTTTGGTCAATTGGGTCAATCCAACCCATTGGATAGATTTATCCATCCTCAAATGCAATTTTCATGAAATTATCTAGTGAGTCCATTTATGATTTGGGTATAACGTTAAACATTATTCGTTTGATTGCTGTCTTAAATGTAATGCTCACTCAGATAAAGTTTCTTGTTAAGCCAAGAAAATGCTAAGGTTCTTGCTAAGGATATCTATGGATTCCAAGCTGTCTAGTTCCCTAAAAGTTTTCTTTTGTGTGTTCCCGACTTGAGTATGTGACTGTAATTTGGTGTCCAACAACCATGAGAGAAAGCTACCAACTTGAACGAGTCTAAGGTAAATTTCTGACGTGTCCATCTTTCAGGCCAGTAATTTAAAGTTCACCACATGATTATGATCCAGTACATTGTAATGTAGATCTGGTCATACTAGCTTGAAGAGCTCAAACAAATCTTTCATATTTGTTAAAACTCATCTATATGGTTATCAATTCACCTGTCCTAAACATTAAGACAAATTTATGTATCGTTTCATTTATAAACTAGATTACCAAAATATTGTTTTAGTACAATAATATATGTATTTATATATACTTTTTTCATAATATAACTAGATATATGTTAAAAAATATTTTAAACCTTGAAAAATGGTACCACAAAACATAGTTTTTTGTTAGCATAGTGTGTACTTGAAACATATTTGTATCTTGGAAAGCATTTGGAAGGCAAGTATTCTAGAAAAAAAATATTCTAGCCCTACTATGAATGATTAGGTAATAAACCTAATTTTATATTTAATTATACAAATCCATAGTATGTTGAAGCTCTATCATAGTTAGTATTGATACATTCTGTTTTAAATAAGGTTTAACTGTATTAACAAAAATGTTTTATGCACATATATATTTTATTTTTTATAAACAATTTTTCAGACGATTATAATTTTTGTAAAGTGTGATAACCATTTTTCTACCTTTGATGGGTGTTCACTTTTTTTGTATAACAGAGACCATATAACAATATTTGTAATGTCCAATTTTGTATTTGAATCCATGATCAGGTTATGTAGTTCTGTAGTTCGATCATTTGTTGAATAACCTATTTCGTTTATTAAATCTAAAACCTTGTCAGATTTTATTTGATCAGCAACAGCCAGTGGTTGAGTGGCCAGACATTGATTGAATGTCCTTAACAATGACACTTCACCGATTGACGAATCCGTTGGTGACCTGACCACTTTAGGACTAGGCTTAACTAAAAAAAAAAAAAAAAATTAGAATATTTATAAATATTTAACCAATTTAATTGTTAACTAACTGTATTGCCATATTACAAAGACTTTAACAATGTTATTGGTGTCTTTACAAGTCACATTCTTGAATGCTTTAATGGTGTCTAATGCCTTCAAATCTTTCAACACAGATGAATGCACATGATAAGAAATATCCCATGCAACTGCTGGCCACAAGATTGGTAAAGCTAATAGAGAATAGGGTGGATCTTCTGGATCAGCAAACACTACTGTATCATTCTACAAAAATGTATAGTTAGGTACTATTTAATTATTAGTTAGTAGTTACTATATTAATAACAGTTTTTATATTCTTACTTTTATCAGATTTGTAATGTCATTATTGATCACAGACTTAGAACTGCTTTTGTGTTCTTTATTAACATTATGACACTGAGTTGATTGTTGTTTTTCTGATATGGGTACGCTGTCCTTTGCATCAGGGAATTCAACTTCTAATTTACTTAATCTTAGTTCAAGCTGTTCTAATATTTTGAGAACTTCATTTTGTTTTTCTAAAAGTACTTGAATTTCCTGATCTGATAATTCAGTTTCATCATTTATGTCCTGCAACTAAATCAAGAAAAAATTTTAAAAAAGTGACAAAAATAAAAAATCAAAACAAAAACCTAAATAAGAAACCTATAAGCTATATTTATATAGGTATGTACTGTGTGCTGTGTTCAACATTGTTGATAAGAATTGGTTTTTCACTAGTGGACGAGAATTATTTAAACTTTTTTTTTAACTGATTCTGTTTCTGGTCTTATAAAAAAATATAATTTTTTAAGAAACTGCCCCAAAGCTCGAAATAATCGGAAACCCCGCAATCGGACGATCGCCCATGCATATAGGCGGAATAAAATGGGAATAACAGAGTAGTAGTTATTGTGACTTGAATGTTGAAAAATATAAACACGACTTTAGTGGTAAATAATGAATTCTGAGTAACACCGCCCATTATCATACACGTGCGTTTAGGTGATCAAGCAGAGAATTTTTTTTTTTGAATCAAGTAACGTTGTTGGTATCTTCTAAGTATGATAAGGAATAATTTTGTCAGAACCTCAGAACTATCAATCTATATGATCATCATTAACTATCGAGTTAGTGTTGTAACAACGTCTAATGCTTGATATGTCACCAAGCAGACGTGAATTGCGCGGCAACGTCATGACGCGGTTAACGATTCTCGCAAATATTTTATTTCCGAAACCACGGGACTATCGACAAAATGGTAAGTTTACGATTTATTTTATCTATGAACCGGGCGTCGACTCCTCAAACAGGCCACAGGGGGAGTGAAGCATTTCCATCCAAATGTCGGAGGACAAGCAACTAGCAAGCGGTTTTACGGATTGTCAAAACCTAGTAGATAAGTGGAAAACGGCGATGACACTAACCTCGTCGGACTTGTCGCTCATCGGCACTCCGGAGAACGACATCTGTTGTAAGTCTTTGAGTTTGTACATGCGGCATGTGTTCTCAATCAACATAGGTACTGGGACCACCGGTTTCAGCTTGTACATGATCGTGAAATTCGGGTGACAGACAGAAAAAAAAGCAGATGACGGTCAAAAATATATGTAGCGCTGCGGAACCGCTATAGAATCAAGCCTGGTCTTCCGCGATAATTCCAAATTCGGAATTCCGTAGTACCGTCGTTAAATGGGTCACAAGCTCGAAGCTATCAGCTGACGCGGCCATAGATATCTTATATTTATGTCGTTTTATATCCAAACACCAGCCGTCGGTGATAAGGGCAGACAGTGTGACCAACCAAAAGTGGCTGACCGTTTAAAAGTAAACGGGTCTTTGCTGGGGTGGTCCTCAGAGGCTCAAGGCCGTCGTTTCTGGAGACGGCAGGATCACAAGACCGGCCACCTTGGTAAATCGGTGGTCACATCGAGTGGCCGAGCAAACGGGACGGTGGCCGCGGGAGGACCGTCAATGGCTGGGATGGAAAGCGCGGGGCGGCGGCCGGCCAATGGGAGCGGGAGAAGGATGCAGCTGCCGCGGCGGCGAGAGTTCATGGCAAAACGTGTTGAACGGAGGAGGTCGCGGTACGCGTCGCGTTTCACCCGCTCGGCCAATTCCGTCTCTCACAGCAACACCGTCTCCAAGCGACGGGAGCGAGTGAGACCACACGATCGGAGAATAACATAGTAACATACAACACCACAACGACGTTATTATTGCCATGATTATTACTATTATTGTTATTTAATATTATTATTCCGTGCCCGTTTTTTCTTTTATTTTCGTTTCGTTTTTTCTTCCCGTCGTGTCGTTTTGTTTTGTTTACGAACGGTTACTTGACAGCGCGTGCCCGCCAGGCGACTGCCGACCACGACAGCGACTTGCAAGCGAAGCGAACCGCCGTGGCCGACCACACGACTGCAGTGTGTGATAATAGTGTTTTCGTTACGGCGGTACGTAACACGGTAATTTGCGATGCGAACGAGTTCGGAGCCCCACGAAGGTCACCTGACCGCGTCTCGGCACCCGCCGTTGGCCCGTTAACGTCCGTTTTTTTTTTTTTCGCGCGCTCACCGACATCGCACACGCACTGCTGCAGGCCTACCCGCGACTACGACACAGCTGTGCGTGTGCGCGCGATTTTGTGTCCACGGATCGCGGGCACAACAATATCGCGCAACCTATCATTTCCATCGTTGTTGCCTTTTGGTAATCGGTACAATCCCTTCGCGAGACAACCGTGGTGATCGTCGACGTGCAGTTCGTGTCGTGTGTCGCAGCCGACTACGCCGGACCATATCGTTTTGTTGTTTACTCGACGGTTCGGTTATCGTCAGTGAACATCCGCCGCCGAATAACGGTCACCAGTGACGGTTGTTGTTGTTGTAGTGATAACGACACGGACCATGTCCGGCAGGCCGAAACGCAGGGGCCGTCCTCCGAAAACTCCGGGATCGGACAAGCCCAAGTTTCAGATGCACTTGCTGAAAAAACCCAAGTACCTGCAGAACCTCGAGACTGAGGACGTTGTTGTCCAATCACCTCCCGCACCTGGACGGTCTGTGGCTTCGAGACGTAGCGCCTCGGCGTCTGTCGCAGCTCGCGCCGCAGTAGTTGTCGAAACTCCATCGCGCAACACACGACGGTCCAACCAGAAGCCCAAGACACCCAAGACACCCAAGACGCCAGCCGTGCCAAAAGGCAGGGCACCGCGTCCGTCGACCAGCAAAAAGAAGAATACTAAAAAGTCCACTGTTGACAAAAGTCACGATTACCATTATGGTTCTGACTTTGATGAGTCCGAAAAGAGTGAAGACCCGTCCGAGAGTGAACAGTCTGACACTAATGTTGAAGACGCTGTTGATGATGTTAGTGACAGTGATTTCTCCGTCTCTGGCTTTTCTGTTGCCAGCCGTGCACGTAAAAGCAATGTCTCCTACATCAGGAACCCCAGTCCCGAGCCGCTGTGGCTCAGGGGTGAAGAAATACCCAAATTGGAGTTACCCAAATCCTCAGAAGATCTCCTAGTGCCTACTGAACACATCATGCAAGCTTTGAGTGTCTATGAAGTGTTGAGACGGTTCAAAAGCCAGGTATATTACATTTATATTACGAGGTACCTAGTTTTTTTTCTCCATTCCAAGTCATTTTTAAACATTTTTTCTTGTAGGTGCGGTTGTCACCGTTTCGATTTGAAGATTTTTGTGCAGCTCTTGTTTATGAAGAGCAAAGCTACCTGTTGGCAGAAGTTCATATAATGCTGTTGAAAGCAATATTACGTGAAGAAGACTTACAACAGACTCATTATGGTGCTGTTGATCAAAAAGATAGTATCAATAGCGTATTATATTTTATGGATACTTTTACGTGGCCTGAAGTATTACGAGAATATATTGAGTCTGATAAATCATTTGATCCACAAGTTCTAAAAGTATTTAATAATGGTGATGAATATCCATTTACGAACATCAAAAATAGATTATCTGTACTGCAATTTTTAACTGACCAATTTTTAACCTCTACTCTTATTCGAGAAGATTTTATTCATGAAGGTACTTACAAAAATATAAATAAATTGTTAAAAGTATTTAAAAATTAATCAAACCCAAATTGTATAGGCCACAGTTTTCAATATGATGATCATTGTCGAGTGTGCCATAAAGTGGGAGACCTTTTATGTTGTGAGACATGTCCTGCTGTGTTTCATTTAGAATGTGCTGAGCCTCCTTTACATGATGTTCCTACAGAAGATTGGCAGTGTAATTTATGCAAAGAGCATAAAGTCATTGGAGTATCTGATTGTATACCTGACGATGAGAAATCTGGTTTATCATCCCGTCAGGACCACTTAGCTTATGATCGACATGGTCGTAAATATTGGTTTCTAGTTAGACGAATTTTCATGTAAGTGTTCTAATATTATTAATTTTATATCTACTAACATAATTTGTCTTGTAACATAGTGAAAATGAAGAGACTGGAGAATGTTGGTATTATTCAACTGAAGAGCAGCTAGGCTTATTATTAGACTCTTTGGATCGTGAAATGGAATCTGTTCTTTTCAACGAAATAGAAAAAGTGAAAGAGGAAATTAATCGACAAATGAAAATAACTATGGACCTCACCTTACAGTATCGACCATCAAATAGGAAAACATTTCTGGATGTAGAAAACAGTGAGTAATAAAAGCTTGTTAATAATAAGAAATTACTTGCATCAAAGAAATATTTTAAGCTTAGATCTAAACAGTGCTTGAATTTGGAACAAATTAAAAAGGCTAGTCGTGTAGTATGCTTACCTACTGGAAAATATGACATCCCTACCTGTCATACTTAAACTTATATTATAATAATATGTTACATTTGTATTTGATTTTATCACGGTAAAGTTTAATTCTGTGACTTGTGTTTTTAAAATTAACAAAATAATATAACTGTAATTCAATGCTATAATAGATAAATAGCCATCACGTTAACGGTTAACTGATAAATATCCACCAAGACCCACAATAACTTACTTTTAGGTATTATATTATTTTAGGGCCGTTCTTACGACGTCCGGTTAAAGTTAACCGACACTTAACCGGAAGAATTCTGCCGGTAATAAAATCTGTTATCAGTCGGTTAGCGTTAACCAACACTTTACCGGACATTGTAAGAACGGCCCTTAGTCTATGTGGTGTCCTTTCACCTTGCTGTGTCAAGCAATACATTTGTTAGACCGCCAATCGCCATCTAAAAGACGAATGGTGGTGGTCCATTAAAACACAATACAAAAGTTTATTTGAAGTATTCTGGGTCGGCGTTTATATGAAATGACGATATAATATAATATATTAAAATACTTGACAATGATGATCATCAGCAATGCTTTAAGTAAACTTTAGTTTAATAAATTTTTAGTAATCAGTTGGTAAACACTTTAGTGCCAGTAAGTTGTACCGTCTATGATTAAACTATGATTAAGCTTAATCAGCTGATAACAGATATTTAAACGGGCAAATTCGGCCGATTAAACTCTGATTAACCATAATCATAGACGGTACAACTGGCCCTTAGGCCAAAGGAGGTACCTAAATTGGAATATTCAAATTGTATGTATTATCATCGATGAATATTAAAGTTATAGTCAAAAATAAAATCATACTACTGTAATAAATAATAACCACTGGTTAATGGTTATCAAATATCAACATCATTAACATGTTTATAATTGCAATTTGTTGAAGTTTTGAGTGTTTAAAAGCTTCAATTAAGTAGTCAGATATCTAGCCAAAATCTTTTTTTCCCCATTTTCATAAAATTTACATAAAGTATGTCAGTAGAGATCGGTTACACTAAGTTCAAAAAGTTAGCAACTTTTTCTTAGGACAATCTTAATACTTGTAAACATATATTTTGTCAAATTAATTGTAGTTATATTTATGTAACTTCAAAAATTTGGGTCTAGGTAAGGAAATATCGTTATTTTTTGATTAAACACAAGTAAAAACATTTAAAATATGGAAATTTTGTTTTAATATTCTTATTTTATAATTACCTCAATTACATTATTATATACAACATTATTTATTATACTCTGTTCTAGTTGACCCAATATATTATTTTTTTTTGTGTACTCTAAAGTATGAGGAAAACATGACAATTTAGTTCATTGTAGTTTTAAAGTTTCACGTCGTGAAACATCACATTGTTTACGTTCTGAACTGTATTGTCACGTTTTTACCATACACCATGTGTGCCAAAAATAAAGTGTATCAGCTTATGGCAAACAGAGTATAGAACCACTTTAATAATAAATCATTGTTTTCAGTATTCTTAGTTTCATCATTACTAAATATATTTTACTTCAATGAAAAAAAAAATGTATAGAACCAACTGTTAATAATTAACATTTCTATATTATAGGTTATATAATAGGCATGAGGGAAGAAATGCAAAAGAAAAAAGATACAGAAATAAGTAAGAATGATAGTAACAGTGAAGAAAGTACCGAAAATGTGAAGAGCGATAATGAGTCTAACAATGATAGTAAACAAGAACAGTCAAATGATGTATCTGTAGACAAAAATGGTATGAACTACTGTTTGTATATTCAAATATTGGTTTATTCTTGTGCAATTTATGTTTAGAAAATGAAGGTGGTAATGGCGACTTGAAAAATGATGACAGTCTAATGGATGTTGATGATAGTGAACATAATCATAGTTTAAGTAAGTATAAATACATTTTTTCAAGACAATTTAAATAATTTTTATTGATGTAAATTGTATTTTTTTTTAGGGAGCACTCGTAACAGATCATTACGCCTAAAACCAGCACTACGCCAAACGCCAGAACAGACAAAAAAACCGCCTGTTGTTGAAAAACCTTCTCCAGCTCACTCGTATTTAGACAACTTAGGTGCAAGGGTAACTCGATTTAAAGCTCAACATATAGCAGCTGGTACCTATTTGTACAAACTTGGCATGGATAATAGCTTTAAGACATATGTAAATCAATACAGTTCAAATCCAACTGCATTAAATAAGATTCAAAAGAATGAAGAACGTGACAAAAAGCGATATATGTCCCACAAGTTTTCACTTACAGGACCTGGTGAATACAAGTGGTGTGGACAAATATTTGGTATGTATCCAATCTACAAAACATATTTGATTTTTCTTCTGCTTATTCCTATACATTTTTATGTTACTTTTAGGCTCTCGGTCAACACTGATAAGTACTGTCAAACAAACTATTATTTCATTAGACAACTTGTTACCATCATCATTGATGCATATCAATTGGTCAGTGTTGCGTAAACCTTGGCTAAATCAAGTTAACTCGTGTTCTACTCCCAAGGATTTTGCAAGAGTTATGGTTGTTTTGATGTCTTGCATTAAACCAGTTGTTTATGCACCCGTTTGGCACGAACAACTTGGTAAACATACTTATTTGTATATATTTCTATATAAAATTTTGGCCACATACTCATTAACTTATGTGACTGTTTCAGGGCATGTAAAACTTTATCGTATCACTCATGCCGAACGGGAAGAAAAGAAAAAAACTGACAAAAAAGATAAAAAGGATAAAGATGCAGAAGAAGATGAGCGTAATAAATTAACCATACATTTTGTTAAGTACACTCTAGGCTTAAAACATCAAGTGAGTAATAATATAGTTCATTTAATTTTGGATGTTTTGCTAAGTACTTCACATGTTAGGTTCACAAACAAAAAGGAGAAGAATATAGAATTCATGGTCAATGGGGATGGCAGTGGTTATCCAAAACAAGAGACTATAAATTGGCTGATTCTTCAAAACAAGGCTTAGCAGCTGGACCTGCCAAAAGAATTTTTCAAGGCAAAGGTAAATTACTTAAAAAAACCTAGGTTCTAGGGTTCTCTAAAGGTTTGAAAACTTAGCAATCCCAACTGACCATTTTAGTTCACTCATAATAACACAGTTTATTTTTGTTTAGATGATAAAGGAGTGCGAACATTTTCTATCGCCGAAACACTTTACGACTCTATGATATTAAAAGAATGTACATTTGACTCAGAAGCGTCAAGTGAAATTCTTGATGACCAAAGTGTCATACATTTAGATAGTGTTTCAGGTAAACATCTTTTTAAATAAAAACATAACTGAAAAAATGCTTTAATAACTATCTCTTATTTCAGACATAGATTTTATAAATATGAAAATCCTTTCACCCATTGACAAACTTGATGAAAACATTGATATTAGTAGTACACTATGTTCTTCCAGCCGTATAATGTATCCTAAACTTGCCAAAAAATGTAAAACTGATATGTTATTGCCAAGAAGAATGCAATTGAAATTAGGTGAAGAAAGATCATTAGTGACCAAAAATGCCAGCACCCCAAAACCAGTTCCAGAAGTAAATATTTTAACGATTTATTATCATTTAAATATTATAATAAAAGAAATGAGAAAGTATTTAAGTCATTCTTGTTTGCTTCTATTATTTTTCACACATTAAAAATACTACTTAGTTAAAATACCTTGTTTAAAATTACCATATAATTATGTAAACTTTTAAAAAGTTAGAGAACATAGATTCTGATATTCCCAATTTATAGATTGTAGTATCATTGGTAATTCTCATAGAAGTATATCCATTTAAGAGAGTCTAATTTAAACAAATAACATTCCAGTTCTGTCATTCTTTTATGATTTTCAGGAATAACTGAAATGTATTTAAATCAGAATTAACCTTATGAGTTATCTACGGCTATTATTTTTGCTATTTTTAATTTAATGCAACTTATTTCTAGGCTGTAGATATTACACCTCCGAGTGCTTCTCCTCAAGCTTCGTCAGAAGCTATCACCAAAATGAGAGAAAAGTCCTACATGTTGAATACTTTACAAAAACGTGTAATTCAACTCAAACAGCATTATTTATCATTTAATACTATGTCTGAACACATGATATGCTATAATAGTAGCTGCCGTGCAGCTAACAAATCTAGTATGACTGCCTCATGTTATAGTCCACTTTGCATCAGACATGTGGATGTACGAAATGAACTTCTATCATTACTACGAAAAATGAACATTTTGAAATCAGAACTAATCGGTGGGTATTTAATATAAATAGTGATTAAATAAATACTTGTTATACATATTTTAATTTACAGAATTAAAAGCATCATTGCCTAAAGACCAGAGTGTATTGAATATAAAGACTGATAATACTTCAGTTGGACCAGTTCAAATTAAAACTGAAGTTAAAAAAGAAGAAAATGTTGTAGTTAAAAGTGAACAGGTGGTTCAAGTAAATGATGTTAAAACCGAGAGTATCACCAAGCAAAAAGATATAAAAACCGAAAATGAAGATGAACAAAATGTGAAAGTTGATGTCACCAGCTGCAGTCCTACTACTGGGTATGTTAACATTTAAAAAAATATTTGTAGCTGTCATATACTATGTATACCTACTTGTTTTTAGATTAAGTGTATTGAAGCCGGCTAGAAAAAGAGGTGGTGCTAAACGAGAAGGTGTTTTAGTAGATTGTATAGATGACGGACGTGTTTATTCTACGGATGATACCCGTAAAAAGGTTAATTTAACTAAGATTTAATCAACCATTCAAAATTGTTACTTATTAGTAACTTAATTTAATTTTTTTATTAATATAGATATATTTGAAAAAGCCTGTGAGTAATAATGTTCCTGTTAAAAAGAAAGCAGAGAAAATTAAGTATCCTCCTACTTCACGGTTTTATACACGTAGTAAACGTTGCAGTTTATTAGTATTACCAAAACACGAGCTTCGAAAATTAGCTAGACACGGTGGACATGATTTTGTTAATGGTTTCAATCCAAATGGCAAGGTATATGATGATATATTTTTTTTAGTTTCTTAGTTATTCATTGTTCTTATTTATTTTTCAGACCAATAATGCAATATGGCCATATCCTTGCCCAAGACCATATTTTAAGACATGCTGGCTTTATAGAACAATAATGTTTAACACCATATCAGCTGCTGCATTACAATTAAGAATCTTATGGGCGTGCCTGAAATGGGATGAATTAACTGCTAAGACTGCTCATTTAGCTAGTAAACGAGAAGTTACAACTGAAACTGAATTAGTTACTACAGAAACTTTAGAGTGTCGTACTTCGGGCCAATTCAATGAACACACTGAATATTTAATACGCAGAGTTGTAATACCATTAGATATACCAAAACAAGTCAGGGGTAAGTGAGACTCCCATATAAGATAATTGAAATTTAATACATTTTTAAAACAAATTTCAGAGGTGACACCTATACGAAGTGGTTTAAGAAAACGTAAAAGAGAGGAAGCTCCGAGAAATACCGCACCACAGGTATCTGAAGTGTGGGTTGATGAAAGTAAATTAGAGCTGGTAGAAATCAAGCAATTCCATGAAAGGTATATCTTAGTACTGTTCATTATCATTTTTCTAGTTCACTAAGTGATTAATTACATTTTTAACAGAGTGGAACGTGAAATGCAAATGCAACAAGCCATGAAAACACGTGCGTCTTCAGCCTTTGCTAATAAATTATTGCATAATGATTCTTCTCATAATCGAAATATAAACGATAAGCTCCGTACATCACAAAACTCGGATAAAACGGAACACATCAAAGAGCAATTAGAACAGTCTCTTAGAGCACAAAGAGTAGCTTATAAAAGAACATCAGTAAACAATGATAACAACTCTTCAAATAAGAAATTGTGTATGGACGTATCCAACTCACAAAGTCCAGTGACTAGTAGTTCAACGCAACGTTTGAAACTTGTACCTGGTAAGACATTATGCTGGTAAAAATTTATTATAGAGTCATGAGGTATAATTTTATTAGTTGTAAAAACGGTGTTGACATTACATATTAACATTTGTATGGATAGTGAATACTGATCCATAAATACTATACTTAACAATGTATATTATAATATAATATCATTGATTATAAGTACTATAGATTGCTCACTTGGCCGGTTTTTCAGTGGCACAAAATATTTGCTACCGGTAGATAGCGAGGCAACGTGATTACTATTGATTACAATGTAATCCGATCTGACTAAACCGGGCGGCCGTATTATTTGGTGCGGGTTTGTGGTTAGTAATGTCGGATAATGTTATAATCACTAGTTGTCACGTCGCCTCGCCATCTACCGGGAGTAAATATTTTGTGACACCGAAAAACCGGCCAGCGAGCAATCTATAGTATTTATAATCAATGATAATATATTATACTGTATTTATGATACATCAATAACGTAATAACTATTATTTTCAATTACTAATTACTGGCAACTGATTTGCCAGCAATCAGTCTTAGAAAATTACCCCTTACTAATTGCTTGAAGTAGATGTAAATTATCATTATTTTTGTACAGGTGAAGGTGGAAGATTAAGGCTGATGCCTAATAATAAACCTTTGGCTCAAAATTCTCCCTTACTTCAATCTTCCACACGAGTTGCTGCCAAACCTCCTACTACTACTTCTACCACTCCATCAACTCGTCGTATATTCATGACTAAATGTATGTACTATTTATTATGTGTATTATATATTTATATTATATGGTTGCGGTATTAAGTTAGTATATAATTTTATTTATATATAATTCTGCCTTGATAATATAGGTCCAGACGGTAAAACCAGACTTGTGACTACACCAAAGTCAATTATCAATGATTCTAATGTGATGAATCAAAACTCAATAAAGATTCAGTCAACTAATTCCCAAATAGTCACTTGTAAGTTTAAATAAACATGCATTTAAGATTTAAATTGTTATAGTTAATTATTATTTTTAAAATTGTTATTATTTAGCAAATAATGTTACACAACAAAAATTGCAATGTATTAAAGGAGAAGATGGAAAATTACAATTCAAAGGTCTTTTACCAGGTGATAATGTTCATTACCTGATTAAAATTACTAACTAAAATATTAAAATTTAATTATTTAAATATAGGACAACAACTTATTCAATTACCCGATGGTAAATTGCATGTGACCAGCTATATAAATCCTAGCCCATCTCGAACTGTTCAAATAGGAAAAAATACAATATTGGCAAATAATAATAATTTTCAAAAAGCTGGCACTCAAGTAAGATTTTAATTTGTGATATGCGTGTGTTTACTTGAAAGTCTTTATTACGTTTGTAGTTTGTTACATTGTATGTTTATGTAAGGTTGTTTAGTGTTTAATATTATGTATATTATTTACAGACAATTATTTTGAACCGAGGATCACAACCTATTCAACAAGTTATGAAACCTCAAACATCTCAAGTAATAATCTTACTATTAATATAGTTAACTAACAAAATACAATATATAATTCATATATACTTAATTTATTATTGAAATTTATTTTCCTAATATAAAATATATCTAATTAAAAATAATAATTTGTACATCTAACAGATGGTAGTTTCTGGTGGACAGTTAGTAAATGTTTCACAAGGTCAACAAATGATTGTGCAGCATATTAATCCAAATAAAGCGACTATAGCCACTATTAATGGCCAGCAAGTTTTAATACGGCCCAATACTGGTAAGCTTATAAATTAAGAGGACACCTCACTTGCAGGTGTTGTCTATGTCTTAATAACGTAAAATACTTTTCGTATTCAATTTTACATTTCCAATTTTGTGTATTGTGTTAGTTTTAATATTCGAGTGAATAATATTTTTACACTTGAAGGTAAGAACATTATCTATTTTCTTTTATATTAATTTTAAAGGAAGATATGAACAATTCAATTTAATATTTATCATACTTCTATCTTGCTTGAAAATTAAAAATCTAAACAACCAGTGTGTAAACAAAATAAATTAAATTTGATAATGGGTTCGATACACTCTAATATTAAAATCAACAACACAATTCGAACCGATGAAAAAAATGCATGTTAAACGTTTGTACAACAAAGACAACACATGCAGCCATGTGGATAATCTTAATACTTATAGTTTATAACATAAATTCACCGTTGTTTTTGATTGATTAGTTTCCTCTGCCAACATACTAAGTAGCGGTGGCCAGACTATTAAGTTTGTTCGACCTCCACAAACTGTACAAAAAATTCATCAATCTGTACCTCCACTATCACCTCGAGTTACTCCAACAACTAGAATTGTTCAAGTAAGGTTTTAAATATAATTTTCATTTTCCCTTTAATATTAATATTTAATTTACCACTAATTATAGGATCAACACAGGCCAGTACTTCCACAGGCTGCACCCACACCATTAGTTGATGAACAAGAAAAATTACTATTAGCTAATCAGCCACCTGGCACAGTAATAAAATGTATCACAGCTCAAGTAATCCAAAGTCCTACGCATGGTAATAAAATAGTGTTACAAGGTTTGCAAGGTAACGATTTCACGCCCCAGCAATTGCAACTTGTACAGCAACAAGTCAAACAACAACTCTTAAAAGGTGAGACATTTTAAATATATCAGCTATTAATTTGATTTATAGTTTAACGTGTTTCGTTTATATTTCAGCTCAAGAATCCAGTGGTACTCAAGGAGTCTTAGGCCCTACAAAGATTTACCTAGCTGTTCAACCACCAGATTCCCCACTGCCTACTGTTCAGAAACCTGGAATTGTTGCACCCATCACAGCTCAACCTACGGTTAAACCAATAGAACCTACCCCTAAGCCATCAGTTCCTGTTCCAAACAATATCCCAGAAATCTTAACTCAGATTAAAACTGAACCAGTAAATAAATAGTTGTTTAAATTAAATTGTATTATTGAAACCTAACAATATACTTTTTTAGCCATCAAAGTCTCCTGTGAATAAAATTCCGGCAATTAAAGAAGAACCGATTGATTCCCCCAACTCATTTGTTGTGACTCCAAACTACATTAGTCAATGTAAGTTATATAGACTACTAGGTTTAGTGTCTTTTTGAAACTAATTTATTACTGTTGTAGCAATTAAAAATGTTTTGAAAAATGAAGATTTAAACCCAGAAACACAAGAAAAACTATTACAATTGCAAAAATATCAAGAACAACAGTTGCGTGATCCAGTACCGCAGACATCAGTTCCTGCATCTCCTGCTAGAAAACGACCTTATGAAACTGATAATTTGGCAGAATTTGAACCTCTTAAAAAGTCAACTGAACGTGATAATTCTGGGTATTTTTATATTGCGTTAATAAAAGCACTGAGAAATTTTGTAATTCAATTATCGATTTTACCCAATTTTTTTTTATTTTTATTATTTGTATACCCTCTTTATGAACACTTTATTCTAGTTAAACTTGTCTTATTAATTATTTTTCTTGTACGTATAGGTCGTTGGTATCTCCTGAACAATCAAAACTATATCAGACACTAAAACAAGGCGATGATCATCGTAAAATTCAACAACTTCAATCAAAACTGCAGGTTAGCTTGTTCAAACAAAAAGAATTATTGAAAAAAGATATACTAAAAAAGAGGGCGCTTCTGGAAAAGGAATTGCAAATCGATATTCAGGTATGTATTTTAAATTCATGTTTTTCTCGAAATTCGGTTTAATCGAACTTCCTGACAAACATAATTTCCTGAGTTTCGATCCTCAGTTCCGATTCCAGAAATGTCGTTGCTCGATTTGATTGCAGTGTACAAAGTACCTTGGGTAGGAGGAAGGAATATATTTGATGGCGTAATATGTCTGCCTAGACAATAGTCTGTTTATTCTTAAGTTATTTTAATTTTATGATGTTTTTACAGAATGAAATAGCTGCTAACGTGACTGTTTCATCAGCTGATTCTACGACCACTTCCAATAATGTGACTGAAAAGTCTATTCCTGTAACACCAGCTCCTGTGCAAGTAACTCCCCCTCCCCAAGGTAGCAGTAAGCGTAAACACGCTTCAGGTCCACCAACCACCATACAAACTACACCACATGCCAATAGTAATTCCAAAACTAGTAATTCTGGACCCGGTAGACGACGACCAATGAAGATTTCCCCTCCGGCACCGAACCGAAATCATTCACGGCCATCGCCATTACCACCAGCCAAGAAATCTAGCCCAAAAAAGAGTAAAAAAGAAAAAATTATGTGTCTTTGTCGAACACCCTATGACAGTTCAAAGTAAATAACTACCATGACCTATTTTCTATGATTAAGTATGTTGTAATTGTGTTCGGTCTTAGGTTTTATGTTGGATGTGATATGTGTCACAACTGGTTCCATGGTTCTTGTGTCGGCATTACTGTGCAAATGTCTAAAAGAATTTCCGAATGGTTTTGTCCCGAGTGCAAGCGGTCAAAGGATCCTGAAGTTCTCTATTGTATATGTAGAAAACCATATGATGATCAACAGTAAGTTGTATTTATTAATATAAATTGAATAAATGTCATGAATAATGTTTTATTGATGTACTTGTTTATTTTAGATTTTATATTTGTTGTGATAAATGCCAGGACTGGTTCCACGGCAGCTGTGTTGGTGTATTACAGTGTGAAGGTGATAAAATGGATGATTACAATTGTCCTAGGTGTATGTCCAACTCTGAAATCAATTTTGCCAATTTGAATCCATTGAACCAACAAGACAACGATGACTTATTGAAACTCGTCAAACAAATACATGTAATTATTTACCATTAATCACTTAATACTGTATACCTTCTATACAAAATGCTTTTATTTTTAGTCACATAAAAGTGCATGGCCTTTCATGGAGCCAGTCGATCCTCATGAAGCTCCTGATTATTACAATGTTGTTAAGGAGCCTATGGGTGAGGAGACTTCTCTACTATTAAATATGTTTTTTTTTTTTTTTTTTGTAACCACTTGCTTTTTTTAACAGACTTGAACTGCATTGGAAAAAATGTGACCGATAAGAAGTATAAGAATCTCACAGAATTCATTCGTGACATGATCAAGGTATTCGACAACTGTAGATATTATAATTCACGTGAATCGCAATTCTACAAGTGTGCCGAAATCCTAGAGCAGTTCTTTGTGTCAAAATTGAAAAATTTAAGGGACAAATTTTGTGAACAATACATGGAAGTCTAATAAACGTTTTTCAATTATTGTAATAATTGTCTAGGTAGTCATACTCTTATCTTACATTTTATAATGTTTATTTTTTTATTATTATTTATTAATAAATATTTTTGTTCTTTTTTATTATTATCTTACAGAAAAAAAACATTGTACGTTTATTAAATATTTTATTTTATTTATTAATACCGTATATCATAACAGCTATTATTGATCTATAAGAGAAAATCTATATTTTTAGCAAACTTATTGTTTGTTTCACTGACATATTTTTACGGACAGTTCACTGCCTATTCAGTGACGACATTGATATTTTATTATTGATACAAACTGGTTTGCTGGTGTATCTATCTTTTTTATCAATTTTGACTGGATAACTATTGTAAATGATAATAAGTTACTACAAAATTACTGTTGAACGATTGATGTTTGTTTAACCGCTCAGAAGCCAAAACACTCATTCCAAAAATTGAAATCAAAGTATCTATTTTTATCTGTATAACCTTTTTTTGTAAAATATAATATATATAATTATAAATAAAAAGTTTTAAGTTAATTTTGTATTTATATTTGTCTTTTAAAACATGTTTTATACAATATATTAGTATTTTTTTTTTTTTAATATGTCGAAACTCAAAACCAAAAACCTGTATGATTTGTTTATTAAATGCATGTATATAGTATATAATATTATAATGTGTAGGGGTAGAGCCTAAATGTATTTTATTTTCTTATAAAAAATATTATATAATATGTTAAAATTAACTATGATTATTATATTATAATCGGTGATGATGTTTTTCTTACATGCCCTTTAGTTTTTTTATTTGTTTGATTTAATTTTTTTTTATTATTATTATTATTATTATTAATATTATTTATGTTGTATCTAGTTTTGATAAACTTGTTTGATACTTACTATTGTAATTATTACTATTAAAAAATATGGAAAAAAAATTAAAACAGATATTATATTATTATTAGTATTAGTATTATTTAGTATGGTTAGTGCAAAGCGAACTTGTTGTTTGATTAGCAAATCAACCTCGTTGATTATTTCCCGACGCCAAATTAACGTGTTCCTGTGTTGTTCCCTATGGTCTGACTTGGCGTTTCACACGCCTCGGGGGAGAGCTCCCTACATGAAGGCTGTCATGTTAATTCACTATTAATAACGTTAGCTGCGATGCTTTTGATTACGAGTCGCGTCAGTATCACGGTAATGGAGATTTTAATATTTTATTATTATTGCCTATGAAATTCATAATATTCGTTTTCGACCAACGATGGTCTCCGCCAGGTATTATACGTGTGAATTAATAATCTAATAAATAGTGTTGGCCAACGATATCGATATCATGAGTATTTCCTTAATAATTTCGATATCGATATCTATATATATATATAGATATCGAATATCGATGTATTATTTTTATTATATCTGTAAAAGTAAATACTAAACGTAGATTATGATACGAGACGATATTATTATGTTCCAAAAAAATAACTCAACACACCAAACAATTTAATCTAAATTCAGTACCGGTTGTTAACTCGCGGTGAGACGTCGTAATTATTTTCGTAATTATTACGTTCGTTATTAATTTTATTATTTATACAAACAAAATGAGTGAAAACTTTAAATTAGTACCGTTGTCTGGTGCTAGAAGTGATATAAGGTAACATTTTGGTTTTAAAGTTAATGAAAAGGAGTTAATATTAAATAAAAATCAAGTTTTTTGTAAAAAGTGCAAATGTGCTGTTGGTTATATTGGAAATACGACCAATCTCAAATCACATTTTCAGCAATGTACAAGTACAAAACCAAGTACGTCTAACAGTTTAATTCTATATTTTAAGCAAACTCCATCAAAATTATCAAACAAAACTAAACGAGCTAAGGAACTAACAAAAAGCCTGGTGAAATTTGTTACGATAGTGTCTTAAAATGTAAAAATTCAATTAATAATATTATTTCTAAAAACAAAAATAAGATACATGGTTTATATCTTCTGTTGAATTTAAAAATATGAAAGATTTATTGAAATTACTTGAACCGTTTACAATTGTTACAGAAGTATTAGGTGGAGAAAACTACACAACTGCGTCAATAGCACACCGATTGATTAAAAGTCTTTTAAATACGTTAAAAGTTAGTGAAATAGACACTAATTTTTTAACTACGGTAAAAAAACTAATTTTAAATGACTTAAAATATCGAAGAGAAATTATGGGTTTAATATTAGCAAAATCATCAGCATTAGACTATAGATTTCGAGAGTTAAAATTTCTATCTGAAGAAGAAAAAGAAACTGTTTGGAAACAACTTGAAAATGAGTTGAAAAAATTAATTTCTGATCCAGAAATAAAAAAATGAAGGACATTTTGAAACACACTCTCCTCCTCGTAAGAAAGATGATAGATCATAGATAGCAATGATGATAAATTGATAACGAAGACGATTATTCAGTAACTCAAAGTCCTACGATGAAACAACTTGAAGAGTATAAAAATTTCCTACGATCAAGATCCTTTAAATTGGTGGAAAGAAAACGAATCTAAATACTCAGCTGTATCATTACTAGCCAAAAAATACTTAAGTATAGTGGCCACCAAAGGTAAGCAAGTTAATGAAAATAATTAACTCAAGTTAAATTAAGTTAAGAGGACACAAGATCGATTAGTTATAAGTTAGCAGTTAACAAATTATAAATTTCACTCGATAAATTAAAAGTTCATAAAGAAAAAAATATTAACTTAACTCAGTTTAAAAAAAGTTAATCTATTTTAGATTCTGAGTGAAACGATGAATGTATTGATTTTACAATGATGTGTGTTTTTTTTTTATTTTTATTTTTTTGTATCTGTCATCATGTTTTAGGACAGTAAAAACTTAAAGTGCTTGGATTTTCTTCAACAGTATCTTTTCTGATAGGAAAGTGAATCTAGTTGGTACTTTGGGAGTAGTTTTCACAAGCACCGGGAAAAACAACATAAAAATTAAGGAAAAACGGGAATTTTTACGCAAAATCGGTTATCCAAAATGTAATATTTGTAGGATGATGATAAATTAGCAATAAACAATTTAACTAAGTGTTCTTTTAATATTTTTAACATAACATAATAAAGAACTGAACAACTTCAAAGCATACTACAAAGCATACTTATATCATGAGTGACTGTGTGAGTATATGACAATTGACAAATATTTTAAGGTTATATCTAAGGTCATGGAACAAACACTACAGTGACAATAACTTGTCTTATAATTCATCAACAAGGACGTTATCATAGGCGTAATTCGGGGGTGGCAAGGGGTGGCAGTTGCCACCCCAGAATTCTCAAACCCAGTATTTTGTCACCCCAGAATTTTGAAGTAAAAGTCTCAATAAATTACAAATACCTAATTGAAAAATACCCTGTAAATGAAATATAGTATAATTCTCATCGATAGTAAAAATAATAATTAAATATTTTAAAGAAATATATTTTTAGAATAATTGTAGGTATCTATCATGACAAAATATACATGTTCATATATACAAAATGTATACAAAAATTATAGTCATTATTAGGATCGCGATAACGATACCACACGTCGCTCTACGGTACTAGTTTCCTGGGAAGTTATCGGTTATTTTTAGTTTCTACTTCGAATGATATAACTGATATTTTTACAATATATTTGGTCAACGTTCATTGCTGGTACAGTTTGATGTCAGACGTCAGTATTGATGTGTTAAGATTGAACTGAGACAGTGAGACATGGTAAGTTAATTTTAGCTACTGTCAATTATTGTGTCACATTCCCACCAAGAAGTTAAAGAGGCCGAGGTTTTTGCAATTATAGCTGATGAAACTCAAGATATAGCAAAGCACGAACAAGTAGCTATTGTCTTGAGGTATGTTAATGAAAAGTTAGAAGTTCATGAGTCATTTGTGGGGTTTTACCGTGCTAAAAGAACTGATGGCAAAACACTGGGAAATGAACTTAAAAATGTTTTGATTTCAATGGATTTGAACATTAAAAATCTGCGTGCTCAGTCCTATGATGGGGCATCGAACATGAGGGGCCCATACAAAGGAGTGGCAGCTATAATTATGCAAGAAGCCCCAATGGCAATGTACATTCACTGCAATGCACATATATTGAACTTGTGCATTGTTTCCTGTTGCACTCGCGTGCCTTCAATTAGAAATACGTTCTTTGTACTTCAAAGTATTTACAACTTCATTGAGAAATCAACTAAACGACATGCTATTTTTGAAAACATTAAAAAAAGTTTCCAGGGCTTTAGTGGTGGAACATCAACATTGAAATCTTTGAGTGATACCAGATGGGCTTGACGTGTCGAAGCAGTGCGTTCTTTATTAGATAATTTTGATACCACTCTTACAACTCTACGAGAAATTTCTGATACGGATCCTGACAGTGGTGGGCAAGCCAATGCTTTGTTGAAAAATCTGGAAGAATTCAACTTCGTATTTGACCTGCTATTACTGAAGAGAGTTCTAGCACAATGTGACATACTATCAAAAACTCTTCAGTCAAGCAGTGTTACCTACGAAATTGTGAAATCTGTAAGAAACAGCACACTTGAAGTATTGAAATCCTTTAGAACAGATGAGTTTTTCTCAAAGTTGTTCAATCACTCTACAGAAATCGCTGACAAGTGCGGATTTAGAGCTGCTCAGCTACAAGTCATTATAAATTATTTTTTTTAGGATAAATTTTTAGCAATTAAATTTTTACAGAAATAGTCTGAATGAGTTTCAAAAAATAAGAAATTTAAAGCCAGTTTTTGAAAAAAAAAATCGGGAAGGGGGTGGGAATATCCCTCGGACCCCCTTTCACCAGGGAGTATTCCTTACCACCCGATACGTCTTGCCACCCCAGTTTAAAATGTGAAATGACGCCCCTGGACGTTATGTGTGTAAATCACTGTTTAGCTTTAAATTATATAATTAATATTTATGTGTGGCAAAATAATCAACTGTAGTTATTAGGTATTCTGTTTATAAGCATAAGGATAAAAAGAATGACCAGGATAAAAAAACAAGTATTTTTAATTTATAGCATTCCAATGATGTATTTGTATTTTTTTTTTTATATAAATCTATTCAAAATTTTATTTTTGTTAAAAAAATCACATATATTTATTATTTTATTTTATTTTGTTAGACATACATGAAAAGATTGGGTACTTATGCAATGGCTCTAGTTCTCATTTTCATACTTTTAATTCATCTTTATGCTCGTTATAAAAATATATTATTCAGATATTGTTTGTTATACTAAAATTGGCATGTGTAAAGTATTGGTCTATAATATATATTTTTTGTTTTTGTTTTGTTGAAATGTCCATGCAATTTGTACGACTAACTAGAATTCATGATTCTTTTTGTTTAAATTTAAATTTCAAATTTTGCATGCAACTGTTCACTACATCTATTATAGTTATTAATAGTCATTGAATATTTTTTATTTTTAAAATATGTAAACATGTCACAACGTTATTATTGGTGATACACTATTAAGTATTTTTTTTTTTTTTTTTTTGTAATTTTTTTATATTAATTCTATACAAATCTATCAGTGAAAAGACTTACCTAAAAAGCACTAGTTTAAATGTTTTAAATTATAAATTTCAAAGTGAAATTTATAAAAAATTATTACAATTTAAATATAATATATATTATATTCTAGTGTGTCGTACAACTTGATATATAATTTATTTTATTTAAATTAGTCAATCTATGTTACCATATAATGTTCTTGTAATCCTGTGTAATAGTAAATAGTTAGTCAACAGTTTTATTTAATTTAATTAAACTTAAGGGCTGTGAATAAAAATCAAGAATAAATGCTATAAGCATAACATAGGCTATCAGTATTATAAACAAATGTCAACGTATTATTTGATATATTATATTATATTTTGATGTCTGTGTATCTGCGTTACTCCTTGTCAACACTAAAATGTAAATTTAATTATTATGCATGTACAATATTATTGTACGGATCAACAGAAATACATTTTTTTTAGTTCAAGTGAGTTAGTATCTAAGCAAAAAAACGGGTGTGGGTATACCATTTCGTTTATATTACAGTTTGTTTTAAAGTTATTAATATTAATATAAGATAATAATACGTACTTATAGTTTTTTTTTTGTTTTATTTATTTTTGTTTAAAATTTATTACATAACTCAATAAGTACCTATAGTATGATATAATATAATAAAATATTATATATTTATTATGAGAAATAAATCTATGAAATAATTGCAAGGTGTATTGCTTAATTGTTAAAATGGGTTTAGTAATATTACCGTTACACCTACTGGCTCATCAAACATTTTACACAAATAAGTAGAAAACAAATTAAATTTCTAATATTTTTGATCCAGGTGCAAGATTTGTGTACGTCCTTTACATTCTAGGATTTTTATTTTTGAAACAGGACAGAATACATGCATTGCCTATTGGTCGTTGTAATGGTCCTTTATGTTGTTATCCAGTAGCAGATAATATGCATTAGTTATGGTTGAAATATTATGTTGAATCAATGATAGGGATTGAGGAAGTAGTTGTAATGAACCAGGCTAGAGTGAGCGCCAAACGTTTGGACATGTGTGAAAGGAGAGTGTGTTGGACAATTCGGTATGAATATTATTTAAATTTATAGCAAACTTTAATCACTTTTTATTTATTATAAACACTTTAATCATCATGTTTAAATTTAAAAATATTGGTAGATGGACAATAAATAGACCACTTTGCTGTGCTCAGCACAGAATAATGATAAATCATAATTTATAAAAGTGTTTCTAGAAAATTATTGATAAGATATTTTCAACATTCATCATAATAGTAAAAAATTTGGCCCTGATTTGCATACATAATGCCCTAATAAGATATTCCATTGAAGTAAAAAACTTACCCTTAGGTACCTAATACAATTTTTTAGATTCTGAGTGAAACGATGAATGTATTGAATTTTACAATGATGTGTTTTTTTTTTAAATTTTTAAATTTTTGTGTCTGACTTCATCTTTTAGGACAGTAAAAATGCTTAGATTTTCTTCAACCGTATCTTTTCCTATAGTAAAGTGAATCTAGTTTTTACTTAGGGGGCTCAAAAGTAACAATTTTCCAGTAGTTTTCAAAAGCACCTTGAAAAACAAAAGAAAAATTAAGGAAATCCGGGAATTTGTACGCAAAATCTGTTTTCGATTTTGGTCTTTGGTGGAAATCTTAAGCAAATGACCTTAGGACTTAGGTACATACAATTTTGACTGAATGTTTTTATTAGCATTTTATATACACCATAACATTTTCCAAATATTTTGATTTATTTTGAGCTGTTTACGGATAT